AGGAGGATAAAGAGGTGGGAGGAGGGCACCCTGAACGATCGCCCTCGTTCCGGTGCTCCACGAAAGGCAAACGAACATCAAGATGATCAGATCAGGGAGATGGTAGAGGCGAACCCCTTCACCAATGCAGATAAAGTACAAGAACTGTAGCGCCCAGTAAAAAGTCGAACGGCGAGAAAAAGATTGCCTGCAGATGGTAATCACCGAACACCAGCCATCAAAGGGAAGTTGACCGGACGTCATCGCCAAGATCGCCTCCAGTTCGCCCAGCAGTATGTAGACAATTATCCGGATTACTGGGACGGGTAATCTGGAGTGATGAAAAAGCATTTTGTTCCACCGCGCACGGAAAGCTCTAGTGCTGGAGGAGAGATAACACGAGGTGTGCAAGTTACCTTTTCACCTCTAACTTCTTTATTGTATTATATATGGAAAAGATCACTATATGTCTTACCCTGGCCAAGCGAGGAATGTGACGTAACCCAATCGAAAACGTCTGGGCAAATATAGTCAATACCTGGGAAACGGTAAATGAAAAAAGCTAATATACCATGCAAAGATGGAATGGGATGTACTACGTCGGAAACCGGAACTTGTATATAAGCATGTCGCCTCCGTCCCGGAGAGACTACGAGTTGTAGAAAATAACGGTGGTCGTACAAGGTTTTAATAAAAATGAATTGTTCCAGTCAGTATGATTTTCCCAAATATTTGCCTTCTTTTCTACATATTACTGTTCTTCTTTAAAAGTAAAAAAACAACTAAATATCTTTGAAGATTAGTTATACCAATTAGTCAATTCATACAAAGCAAGAAAGTACTTCAATAAACAAATACATGTTATTTTCCGCTGAACGTGGTTCAAAAAGTTTAAAATGCAAAACTATAATTCTAAATCACTACGCATACTAGTACTCAAATAACGAAAATGGCGTACAGGTGCATTAAAAATGGTCAGCGTCTCTAATTTCTCAACACGCACACATGCTCACAATGATGAAACCCTTATAAATTCACTGTATTCCTGTAATTTTGCGTACAGTTGGTCTATAATGATGGTTATAACGTAATTTTTTTTCTTCTGAATCAGTGTTTGGATCTGACGAAAAGACTTTATTTGTTCAATTAGCTGCTTCTAGATAGTTAAGTAACGAGTAGTTGCAAAGCTTTTGCCGAAATTGCACATTTTATTTCTTGCAACTGCCATACGTAGCTGTTTAAAGAAAGCAGAATTTATAAGTGTAAAGAATGTGCAGCTATGATCATTTGTGGAGCGAAGACGCCGGCCCACTTCCATATAATTCCGCAACAGTACATTACATTTATTATTACTTTTATCATTAGTATTTCATAATCATTATCATAAACTGATATATTAAACTGAAATGGTTTATTATTCGCCTGAAGAGGAACTTTCTTACTATGGTTTTCATTTTCATTTTTGTGTACACGTTTCAGTGTTTGTGATATATATACATACACACTATATATCTATATCTATATGTATTTATGCATATATTATAATATACATATATATATATACATATGTATGTGTATGCAGTATATATACATATACAGGGCCGGATCCAGGGGGGCGTACGCTCCCCTATTTTTGGCAGAGTAATGATTTTCTTAGACCAGGAATTTTTTACACATCATCAGGGAAAGACGTGGGATATAGGTAGGAAAAGTCCTAGTCAGCAATAGAAGGGATAATTGATAGAAACTTTCTATCCCGCTTAAGCTTCGTGCCTTCGGCACTCGCAATCGTCTCGGCTAGGGGTTACGCCCCCCCCTTTTTAGCAATCCTGGATGCGGCCCTGATATATGTATTTACATATGTGTATATTGAACATGTATTGCATATAGACATGCTTATTTTATTTATAAATTTAAATATCAACATACACAGTATACACACACACACACAATATATATATATATATATATATATATATATATATATATATATATATATATATGTATATATATGAAGTATACATGTATGTGTATATAGATATATATATACATACATTTATATGTATAGATATAAATATATATACAATATATCTACATATGCCTGTGTACATACAAAGGGACCGTGCGTTTAACCAACACAGCCCTGGCAAATTGGTGGACAGCAGTGGTAACAAGTACTTCAGACCTTGTGAGACAGAGACAGATACAGAAAGAGTGAGAGGAAGGGAGAGAACGAGAGACATGATATATTTGTGTGTAAATACATTTATGTGGATGTGTATACAAATGTATATATGTACACATTTATGATATATATGAATAATATTGATTTATATGTATATACTCATATATACATGTAAATTTACAAAAATGTGCATATATAAACACACGTATATATTTATACATATATATCTATTATATATATGTAGTTATTTGGTATCCACTTCGGTTTATTATTCGTCTGTAGAGGAACTCGTGAGGAGTTCGAAACGATATGAGGCATATTCATTTCTTACTTGAGGCCGTTTTCCTTTTCATCTTTGTGTACACGTTATTGTCACACAATTATATACACATTTATGTATACTGTATATATCAATATATATGTAAATATCTATCTACATATTTTTATATACATGTGTACTTCATATGAATATATATATACACATATACATGTACATATATACATATTTATTTATTGAACCATTCATTACACTGTTGGATCTAGAAATATCCAAATTTATTGTCGTGACGTAATTTGGCAGTACAACCCCTCCCTGATTGGATGCCCTTCCTAATCAACCACGAGAAAAAAAATGTATATATATATGAATAATACATGTACATATAGTATATTTATATATACACATGTATGTGTATCTATGCGTTTATATATGCATATATATGTAAACATGTGTATATCCATAAGATATACGTGTATACATTGTTATATATTTATGTATACCTATGTGTAAATATCATATAAACATAAATATATAGGTATACATATGTATACAGATATATATATGGAAAAAATAGAAATAGAGGCAGAAAGAGACAAAAAGAGAAAGAGAGGAAGAGCCCCACAAGGTCTGAGGACGAGAGAAAGGCGGGTCTTCCTCCCCCACTTCCCTATTTTTCTTTATATCTTTCTCTGTATCTATCACTCTTTGTCTCACCCTATTTTTCTCTCCTTCCCTGTCTCTTTCTATCACATATATTTATATATATAAAAATGTATACAGGTATGTATTTGCGTGGATGTAAATGTTTATATAGGTTTGTGTAAATATATATCAATTTATATATGTATATACACATCTACACATTTATATATGACCATAGACACAAGCAAATTTACACACATATACATACATTTGAATATTTGTGTTTTTGTGTAATATATACATATATATCTACGATTAGGAAGGGCATCCAATCAGGTAAGGTTGGTATTGCCAAATGACTTTTCATTAATAAATTTGTGGAGGAATGGTTGAATACTTTTATATATATATATATATATATATATATATATATATATATATATATATATATATACTCGTATATGTATATACACGAATATGTATAAATATTTATGTAGTGTACATATGTATAAATACTTGTTGATGATTATATGTATATATACTCTATATACAAATATTTGATATCTATATTACATATACATGTCTACATATGTATTTACATTATAAGCCTACATGTATAGGCCGATAATGTAAATATAGATAAAAAGATATATCTGTATACCAACTTATCTGCATCTACATCTCGCTTTCTTTCGAGTCGCTTCTTTCTCGCCCCCAGCCCTTGTGAGTCTCTGTTACTGTATCTTTCTCTTTCCCTCCCTCCCTCCGTTTCTCTGACTCTTTCTTTGTCCCTGTCTCTATATCTCTCTCAGAAGGGCTGAGGACGATGGTTAATGGTTAATAGCAAAATAAACTTGCAAGACATCTAAGGTCATGTAGCACTATAGTAAATGGTAGTGAAGGGTGGTTGAGTTAGTGATTAGTTGTCAAAGTTGACGAGTGAATCGGTTAAGGTCGGCTAAGATAATGTAAAGGAGTTAGATCAAGTGGATATATATGTGTTTGAGGAAGGAAAACAGGTTGTCAAAGCAGAAAGTGAGATTCTGTAACGATGTCCGATAGGTTGGGAGATCGGTGAAGTGGAGGATAATGGGGGAAAGCAGAGGTACGGGCTGCATCAAAACATGGGCACGACAATAGAATGTGTGGAACTGAAAGAGGGACATTACACAAGGAACATAGGGGTGGATCAGAGTGTAACATCAGATAAGTGTGTCAGACGGGTGTGGCCAACGCGTAAGCAGGCGAGAGCCGTCTCCCAACGTCTGTTCCGATGACATGGAGCTGACTAGATTGATTGCTTCACAGTATGTAATTTATTAGTATGGAGACTTGACCAGAAAGATTGCTATCGGTTATACAAGATCTTAAAGTGGGGGGGTAATAATCCGTGGCTGGGATACGTGAGAAACGTACAGCAAAGTGTGCTAGAGTATCTGTCTGTTCATTGCTGGGGATTCTAACATGGCTGGGCACCCAGCAAAATTTTATGTGATCCAGAACTGGTTGCTCACACACCATAAAAAACAAGGGGGTTGGTCGAGTGTATTGACTTTGAGAGTGAGTTACGGGAGTCGATAAATATAGTGAAAGAGGAAGAGGGGAATGAGTAGGTGTTTGAATGCACTCCTTTTTACCTCGAGTTCTGTATTAAGGGCACTGGTGCTGGTTTTGCAGTAATCTTCCCAACTCCTACTTTCAAATAACCCCTCCCTCCTGAATCCAGAGATGGATTTGGAGCCATCAGTGTAAACAGAATACTGGAGGAATGAATGGAAACATGGTCAAGGAAACAGATGAGGAAAAGGGGAAGTGGAGAGGAGGGTATCCATGCGAGTGGAGAAACTAGGTAAACACAGAGAAGCAAAGGAAGTAGGGGTCTTAGGATAGTTTAGAAGGGGGAAGTTGGTGGAATCAAGTATATCTGAGAGAAGGGTACAGTGTCGTGAGATATGGTATGCCTGGTTCAGTGTACTGGCTTTCAACTGGAGAGGAGCTTATGGCACCTAGGGATAAGTAAAGACCAGTGATGATTGTATCAAGATGGGCAAGGAGAGTTATGTCATCCATAATCGAGAGTGGAGAGGATCAAGGTAGATTGCAAAACTCTTCATGCTGAGCCCCAGGATATATGGGATAGAGTTTGTAAGATCCGGAGACGGCGGAGAGCTTATTCTTTAATGTAAAGGATATGGTTTTGTCAGGACAATTTGGAGTAAAAAAAAAAAAAAAAAAAAAAAAATAGGCATAGAAATTTGCCTGAGGTACGATATTGAAGTGAAGTGCCATATATATGGTTGGGGACCTACGTGTGCAAGAGAAAAGGTTGGAGAAAGGTAGAAAAACAGAAGCCATTGTTTGTAGCCGAGGAAGATACTGATGATATTGCAGAATGAAGAAATTGGCAGAGCTTTGGCATGTATGTGCCAGAGGCATTGATGGTTAAATTATCAACATAGTGATGACTGGGCTCCTGGTGGCAGAGCAAAAACATTGTGTGCTCAGTACATTCTTTTTTTTGCTGTTAATGACAGACTTGTGGAACACCTTCAATTTGAGGAAAGAAGGATGATGTGGCAGAGGCAATTATGACCTGAAAAGAGCATTGGGTGAGGAAGGACTATCCTCTCTAGGAGTTAGGAAGTGGTACATATGAAGTAGGAGAAAGAACGGTAGGGGAAATGGTCTATAACTGACCAATGGAAACCTAAATGAAGAGAAGGGGAGCATATAGAGAGGTTAATGCATAAGAAAAAATGTGTATCGAAGTGTGTGGCAGTCTGAATCAAGAATGTCAGCTGTGGAGAGGAAGCACTCTGGGGCTGATTCTATCACCAACTTCGTGGTCGATCCCTAGAGTGGTAGCAGTTAAAATCACTAATTATAAGGAAAGGTGGAGTTGGAAAATTAGGTTTTCAATAGCAACAAAGCCAATATGGTGGGAAGGGGACAAGTAGACTGAAATTAAAGATGCAAATAATTACAAGGGACAGTGGTTTGAAAGAGAGGTATGACAAGGTGTTTGGCTCATCTATATATATTTATCTATAAAAAAAGGAGTGTGGGGAAGAGACAAAATGGTAATTGAGAATTAGTATAGGATGTTTAAGTCTCTTGAAGGGATATAATGGATGGGTTATAAAAGTAAAGGTATAGGAGGATGTGCAAGTCTATTGAAGGTATATAATGGATGGGTTATAAGAGTAAAGGGTATGACAAAGCTCAGGTCTGAGAACGGACACCGCGAATATCCCAATGGAGTTATCACTCATAAGTCAACGAAAGTGTAACAGAATATGAAGGGGAAGGACCTAGAGGGTGGGATAAGGAATGAGACGGGGGAGGTGGTGTTGCATCAGGTGGTCTGGGGAAGGGGATAGTGGTGATATAAGGGATTCACATGTGTATCCAGGAGGGAGTGGAGGGAATAGAGGAGAAGGAGGGTTAATGTAGGTGGAGTTGGAGTTTGGGGGATTGATTAAAATTATCTGCCGCATCAACTGGAATCTGGGGGAATGGGCTGCATTGGGAGAGGTAGGATAGGGTGTAGGGGGAATATTACTTTGAATGTGGAGTGAGTGGGAGATGTGGAATTTGCAGGTGGATGAGGGGACTTTAGCATCAGTTTGGGACTCAATTAGTTTTGAATATCTTCAAGTTTCTGTAATGGAGTTGGTTTGGGAGTTTTGTAAAATAAAAGGTTTACTTGTGAGGGAAAACACTGGTGTCTGAAGAGTAGGGGCAAAGGTGGTGATTGTGTGGTAGGGGAAAAGGGGTGGAATGTTTAGTTTGTCCACTGCAGGTAGTCTGGGGAGAGAGAGGAAGGTGTTGGGGTTGTAGTAGAGATAAGTGTCTGGATTTCGAATGGCAAAAGAATTTGACTGGGGAAGGTAGGAGGTAGAAGAGAGAAGTTAGATGGAGGGATAGGTTTAGGGGCGGGTGAAGGAGTTTGGGAGGTAGGGGAAGTGGCAGTTAGTGACATAACTGGAGTAAGAGAAAATCCTCGTTGACGTGCTTCCTGTCTGGCTTCACGTAAAGTGAGTCCAAGTCTAGAGTGAAGTAGCACTCAATATGTAGGTGGTGCAACCCCTATAAAAAAAAAATAAATAAATAAATAAATAAATAAAAAAAAATAAAAAAATTAAAATAAATAAAATAAATAAATAAATAATAATAATAATAATAATTATGGGGACCGCCACAGTTGGTACATGTACTGGATTGTGCAGAGCAGTATGATCGAGTATCGCTAGGTTGGACACATAGCGGGTATCTGGCTGTGGAACTGCAATGTTTAATGTCCTATACACCAACAATTTTGGCAATGACGAGGTTGATATGGTCGGACAGGGTTAGTGAGATTCTTACGATGACCTCTGGGAGGAATGGAGTAGCACTGTGCTGATATCAGTTTGAGATGTAGTCTTATGGAGAGGTGGACAATAAGGTTGTAAAGTAGTAAGAAGGCAGGATGGGGCAGTTGAGGAAGGTAATGAGGGTAGAGGTGATGTAGTTGAGCATGTTGGGAGAGTAGAAATGTCTCCTGGGGGTTGAGTGTTGTCTAGGGTGGATAATGTATTAGTGGGCACTAAGGAGGGAGTAGTAGTTGGTGTCCGGAGCCGTAGTCAACGGAGAGCCTGGGGTTAGGGAATTGGGAGAGCTTGAATCGGTGGGGTTATTTAATGAAGGGGTAAGCCTCATTGCCCTTAATAATGGTATAACTTGGTGTAGTTGGTGGTGGTGGTGGTGTAGTTGTTAGTGGTGGTGGTGGTGTACTTGGTGGTGGTAGTGGTGTAGTTAGTATTGGTGTTGTATAGTTGCAGTTGATGGTGGTGTAGTTGTAGGTGGTGGTGGTGTAGTTGTAGGTGGTGGTGTAGTTGGTGGTGGTGTAGTTGGCGGTGGTGGTGTAGTTGGTGGTGGTGGTGTAGTTGTTAGTGGTGGTGGTGGTGTACTTGGTGGTGGTAGTGGTGTAGTTAGTATTGGTGTTGTATAGTTGCAGTTGATGGTGGTGTAGTTGTAGGTGGTGGTGGTGTAGTTGTAGGTGGTGGTGTAGTTGGTGGTGGTGTAGTTGGCGGTGGTGGTGTAGTTGGTGGTGGTGGTGTAGTTGTTAGTGGTGGTGGTGGTGTACTTGGTGGTGGTAGTGGTGTAGTTAGTATTGGTGTTGTATAGTTGCAGTTGATGGTGGTGTAGTTGTAGGTGGTGGTGGTGTAGTTGTAGGTGGTGGTGTAGTTGGTGGTGGTGTAGTTGGCGGTGGTGGTGTAGTTGGTGGTGGTGGTGTAGTTGGCGGTGGTGGTGTTGTTGGCGGTGGTGGTGTAGTTGGCGGTGGTGGTGTAGTTGGTGGTGGTGTAGTTGGTGGTGGTGTAGTTGGCGGTGGTGGTGTAGTTGGTGGTGGTGGTGTAGTTGGCGGTGGTGGTGTTGTTGGCGGTGGTGGTGTTGTTGGCGGTGGTGGTGTTGTTGGCGGTGGTGGTGTAGTTGGTGGTGGTGTAGTTGGTGGTGGTGTAGTTGGTGGTGGTGTAGTTGGTGGTGGTGTAGTTGGCGGTGGTGGTGTAGTTGGCGGTGGTGGTGTAGTTGGCGGTGGTGGTGTAGTTGGCGGTGGTGGTGTTGGCGGTGGTGTAGTTGGTGGTGGTGGTGTAGTTGGTGGTGGTGGTGTAGTTGGTGGTGGCGGTGGTGTAGTTGTTTGTGTAGTTTGTGGTGGTGGTGTAGTTGATGGTGGTGGTGTAGTTGGTGTACCTTTTGGTGTTGTAGTTGGTGTTGCATAGTTGTAGTTGGTGGTGTAGTTGTAGTTGGTGGTGTAGTTGGTGGTGGTTGTGTTGCTGTTGGTGGTGTAGTTGGTGGTGATGTAGTTGTCGGTGGTGGTGTAGTTGGTGGTGGGAGTGGTAGTGTAGTTGTAGTTGGTGGTGGTCTAGTTGTTGGTGGTGTTGTTATTGGTGGTGGTGTAGTTGGTGGTGTAGTAGTTGTTGGTGATGGTCTAGTTGGTGTTAATAGTGGTGGTGTAGTAGTTGGTGTAGTTGTTAGTGGTGGTGTAGTTTTTCGTGGTGGTGGTGTAGTTGTTGGTGTAGTAGTTGGTGGTGATGTAGTTGTTGGTGGTGCTATAGTTATTGGTAGTGGTGTAGTTGTTGGTAGTGTAGTTGGTGGTGGTGGTGGTAGTGTTCTTGTTTGTGGTGTAGTTGGTGGTGGTGTAGTTATAGTTGATGTAGTTGTTTGTGGTGTAGTTGGTGGTGTTGATGGGAGTGTAGTTAGTGGTGGTGCAGTTGGTGGTGTTGTAGTTGGTGGTGTAGTTGGTGGTGGTGTTGATGGTGGTGGTGTTGATGGTAGTGTAGTTAGTGGTGGTGTAGTTGGTGGTATAGTTTTTAGTGCTGGTGGTGTAGTAGTTCTTGGTGTAGTTGGTGGTGTAGTAGTTGGTGGTGTTATTAGTGGTGTAGTAGTTAGTGGTGGTGTAGTTGGTGTAGTTCTTCGTGGTGTAGATGTTATTGTTGATGGTAGTGTAGTTAGTGATAATGGTGTAGTTGGTGGTGGTGGTTTAGTTGGTGGTGTAGTTGGCGGTATAGTTGGTGGTGTAGTTGGTGGTGGTGGTGTCGTTGGTGGTGTAGTTGGTGTAGTTAGTGGTGGTAGCGTAGTTGTTTGTGTGGTTGGTGGTGGTGTAGTTGGTGGTGGTGTAGTTGGTGGTGGTGTGGTTGGTGGTGTAGGTGGTGTAGTTGGCGGTGTGGTTGGTGGTGTGGTTGGTGGTGTAGTTGGTGTAGTTGTAGGTGGTGGTGTAGTTGGTGGTGGTGGTGATGGTGTAATTGGTGGTGGTGGTGTAGTTGGTGATGATGGTGGTGTAGCTGTTATTGGTGGTGTAGTTGATGGTCGTGGAGTAGTTGGTGGTGTAGTTAATGGTGGTGGTGGTAGTGTTGGTGTAGTTGGTGGTAGTGATGTAGTTGGTGGTGTAGTTGGTGGTGGTGGTGTAGTTGGTGGTGTAGTTGTAGTTATTGGTGGTGTAGTTGGTGGTGTTGTAGTTATTGGTGGTGTAGTTCATGGTCGTGGTGTAGTTAGTGGTGATGGTGGTGGTAGTGTTGGTATAGTTCGTGTTGCTGGTGGTGTTGCTATTGGTGGTGGTGTATTTATAGGTGTTGGTGTAGTTGTAGGTGGTGGTATAGTTGGTGGTGTAGATGTTTTTTGGTTGTGGTGTAGTTGGTAATGTAGTTGGTGGTGGTGTAGTTGGTGGTGGTGGTGTAGTTGGTGGTGTAGTTGTAGTAGTTGGTGTAGTTGTTACTGGTGTTGTAGTTGTTGGTGTTATGATTAGTGGTGTTGGTGATGTTCGTGGTGTAGGTGGTGTAGTTCGTGGTGTAGTTCGTGGTGGTGGTGTAGTTCGTGGTAATGTTGCTGTAGTTGTAGGTGATGTAGTTGGTAGTGTAGATATTTTTGGTGGTGATGGTGTAGTTGTTGTAGGTGTAGTTGTTGTAGGTGTAGTTGTTGATGGCGGTGGTGTAGTTGCTGGTGGCGGTGAAGTTGTGGTGGTGGTGTAGTTGGTGGTGTAGTTGGTGTTGTTAGTGTAGTTGGTGTATTTGTTGTAGTTGTTGGTGTAGTTCTTGATGTAGTTGGTGGTGTAGTTTTTGGTAGTGTAGTTGGTGGTGGTGGTGGTGGTGTAGTGTGTAGTTGGTGGTGATGGTGGTGTAGTTGGTGGTGGTTGTAGTGGTGATGGTGGTGTAGTTGGTGGTGGTGTAGTAGTTGGTAGTGTAGTAACTAGTGTAGTTGGTGGTGCTGTTGGTGTAATTGGTGGTGTATTTATAGTTGGTGGTGGTGTAGTTCGTGGTGTAGATGTTGGTGATGGTGTAGTTGTAGGTGGTGGTGTAGTTGGTGTAGTTGGTGGGGGTGGTGGTGTAGTTGGTTGGGGTGGGGGTGTAGTTGTTGTTGGTGGTGGTGCAGTTGCTGATGTAGTTGGTGTAGTGGTGTAGTTGTAGTTGGTGGTGGTGATGTGGGTGGTGATGTAGTTGGTGGTGGTGTGGTTGGTGATGTAGTTGGTGGTGGTGATGTGGTTGGTGATGTGGTTGGTGATGTGGTTGGTGATGTAGTTGGTGTAGTTGGTGGTGGTGTAGTAATTGGTGTAGTTATTGCTGGTAGTGTAGTAGTTAGTGGCGGTGTAGTTGGTGGTGGTGTAGTTGATGGTCGTGGTGGTTTAGTTGGAGGTAGTGTTACTGTAGTTGGTGGTGTAGTTGGTGGTGGTAGTGGTGGTGTTGCTGTTGGTGGTGTATTTGTAGGTGGTGGTGTAGATGTTTTTAGTGGTGATGGTGTAGTTGTAGTTGGTGTAGTTGGTAGTATAGTTGGTGTACTTGTTGGTGCCGGTGGTGTAGTTAGTAGTAGTAGTAGGTGGTGGTGGTGGTGGTGTGTAGTAGTAGTAGTAGGTGGGGTGGTGAGTGTGTTGTAGTTGTAGTAGTAGTAGTAGGTGGTGGTTGTGTAGTAGTAGTAGGTGGTGGTGTGTAGTAGTAGTAGGTGGTGGTGGTGTGTAGTAGTAGTAGGTGGTGGTGGTGGTGTGTAGTAGTAGTAGGTGGTGGTGTTGTAGTAGTAGGTGGTGTTGTAGTAGTAGGTGGTGTTGTAGTAGTAGGTGGTGGTGATGGTGGTGGTGTGTAGTAGTAGTAGGTGGTGGTGTGTAGTAGTAGTAGGTGGTGGTGGTGGTGTGTAGTAGTAGTAGGTGGTGGTGGTGTGTAGTAGTAGTAGGTGGTGGTGGTGGTGGTGTGTAGTAGTAGTAGGTGGTGGTGGTGGTGGTGGTGTGTAGTAGTAGTAGGTGGTGGTGGTGGTGTGTAGTAGTAGGTGGTGGTGGTGTGTAGTAGTAGGTGGTGGTGTAGTAGGTGGTGTGTAGTAGTAGTAGGTGGTGGTGTGTAGTAGTAGGTGGTGGTGATGGTGGTGGTGTGTAGTAGTAGTAGGTGGTGGTGGTGGTGGTGTGTAGTAGTAGGTGCTGGTGGTGGTATGTAGTAGTAGTAGGTGGTGGTGGTGGTGTGTAGTAGTAGTAGGTGGTGGTGGTGTGTAGTAGTAGTAGGTGGTGGTGTGTAGTAGTAGTAGGTGGTGGTGGTGGTGTGTAGTAGTAGTAGTAGGTGGTGGTGGTGGTGTGTAGTAGTAGTAGGTGGTGGTGTGTAGTAGTAGTAGTAGGTGGTGGTGGTGTGTAGTAGTAGTAGTAGTAGTAGTAGTAGTAGGTGGTAGGTGGTGGTGTGTAGTAGTAGTAGGTGGTGGTGGTGGTGTGTAGTAGTAGTAGTAGGAGGTGGTGGTGGTGGTGTGTAGTAGTAGTAGGTGGTGGTGGTGTGTAGTAGTAGTAGGTGGTGGTGGTGGTGGTGTGTAGTAGTAGTAGGTGGTGGTGGTGTGTAGTAGTAGTAGGTGGTGGTGGTGGTGGTGGTGTGTAGTAGTAGTAGGTGGTGGTGGTGGTGTGTAGTAGTAGTAGTAGTAGGTGGTGGTGGTGTGTAGTAGTAGTAGGTGGTGGTGTGTAGTAGTAGTAGGTGGTGGTGGTGGTGGTGTGTAGTAGTAGTAGGTGGTGGTGGTGGTGGTGTGTAGTAGTAGTAGGTGGTGGTGGTGGTGTGTAGTAGTAGTAGGTGGTGGTGTGTAGTAGTAGTAGGTGGTGGTGGTGGTGTGTAGTAGTAGTAGGTGGTGGTGTGTAGTAGTAGTAGGTGGTGGTGGTGTGTAGTAGTAGTAGGTGGTGTTGGTGCTGGTGGTGTGTAGTAGTAGTAGGTGGTGGTGGTGGTGACGGTGTGTAGTATTAATAGTAGTAGTAGTAGGTGGTGGTGGTGGTGTGTAGTATTAATAGTAGTAGTAGTAGGTGGTGGTGGTGGTGTGTAGTATTAATAGTAATAGTAGTAGTAGTAGTAGTAGTAGTAGTAGTAGTAGTAGGTGGTGGTGTGTAGTAGTAGTAGGTGGTGGTGGTGGTGGTGTGTAGTAGTAGTAGTAGGTGGTGGTGGTGGTGGTGGTGTGTAGTAGTAGTAGGTGGTGGTGGTGTGTAGTAGTAGTAGGTGGTGGTGGTGTGTAGTAGTAGTAGTAGTAGGTGGTGGTGGTGGTGGTGGTGTGTAGTAGTAGGTGGTGGTGGTGGTGGTGTGTAGTAGTAGTAGTAGGTGGTGGTGGTGGTGTGTAGTAGTAGTAGGTGGTGGTGGTGTGTAGTAGTAGTAGTAGGTGGTGGTGGTGGTGGTGTGTAGTAGTAGTAGTAGGTGGTGGTGGTGGTGTGTAGTAGTAGTAGTAGGTGGTGGTGGTGGTGTGTAGTAGTAGTAGGTGGTGGTGGTGTGTAGTAGTAGTAGGTGGTGGTGGTGTGTAGTAGTAGTAGGTGGTGGTGGTGGTGTGTAGTAGTAGTAGGTGGTGGTGGTGGTGGTGGTGTGTAGTAGTAGTAGGTGGTGGTGGTGGTGGTGTGTAGTAATAGGTGGTGGTGGTGGTGGTGGTGTGTAGTAGGTGGTGGTGATGGTGGTGGTGTGTAGTAGTAGTAGGTGGTGGTGGTGGTGTGTAGTAGTAGTAGGTGGTGGTGGTGGTGTGTAGTAGTAGTAGGTGGTGGTGGTGTGTAGTAGTAGTAGGTGGTGGTGGTGGTGGTGTGTAGTAGTAGTAGGTGGTGGTGGTGGTGTGTAGTAGTAGGTGGTGGTGGTGGTGGTGTAGTAGGTGGTGGTGGTGGTGGTGGTGGTGTGTAGTAGTAGTAGGTGGTGGTGGTGGTGTGTAGTAGTAGTAGGTGGTGGTGGTGTGTAGTAGTAGTAGGTGGTGGTGGTGGTGGTGTGTAGTAGTAGTAGGTGGTGGTGGTGTGTAGTAGTAGTAGGTGGTGGTGGTGGTGGTGTGTAGTAGTAGTAGGTGGTGGTGGTGGTGTGTAGTAGTAGTAGGTGGTGGTGGTGGTGGTGGTGTGTAGTAGTAGGTGGTGGTGGTGGTGGTGGTGGTGTGTAGTAGGTGGTGGTGGTGGTGGTGGTGTGTAGTAGTAGTAGGTGGTGGTGGTGGTGTGTAGTAGTAGTAGGTGGTGGTGGTGGTGTGTAGTAGTAGTAGGTGGTGGTGGTGTGTAGTAGTAGTAGGTGGTGGTGGTGGTGGTGTGTAGTAGTAGTAGGTGGTGGTGGTGGTGTGTAGTAGTAGGTGGTGGTGGTGTGTAGTAGTAGGTGGTGGTGGTGTGTAGTAGTAGTAGTAGGTGATGGTGGTAGTGGTGTGCAGTAGTAGTAGTAGTAGTAGTAGTAGGTGGTGGTGGTGGTGGTGTTTAGTAGTAGTAGGTGGTGGTGGTAATAGTAGTAGTAGTAGTAGTAGTAGTAGTAGTAGTAGTAGTAGTAGGTGGTGATGGTGGTGGTGTGTAGTAGTAGGTGGTAGTGGTGGTGGTGTGTAGTAGTAGTAGTAGTAGTAGGTGGTGGTGTGTAGTAGTAGTAGTAGGTGGTGGTGGTGTGTAGTAGTAGTAGTAGGTGGTGGTGGTAGTGGTGTGTAGTAGTAGTAGTAGTAGGTGGTGGTGGTGTGTAGTAGTAGTAGGTGGTGGTGGTGTGTAGTAGTAGTAGGGGTGGTTGTGTTAGTAGTAATAGGAGGAGGAGGAGGAGGAGGAGGAGGAGGAGGAGGAGGAGGAGGAGGAGGAGGAGGAGGTGGAGGTGGTGGTGTGTAGTGGTAGTAGTAGGAGGAGGAAGAGGAAGAGGAGGAGGAGGAGGAGGAGGAGGAGGAGGAGGAGGAGGAGGAGGAGGAGGTGGTGGTGTGTAGTAGGAGGAGGAGGAGGAGGAGGAGGAGGAGGAGGAGGAGGAGGTGGTGGTGGTGTGTAGTAGTAGTAGTAGGAGGTGGTGGTGGTGTGTAGGAGGAGGAGGAGGAGGAGGTGGTGGTGGTGGTGTGTAGGAGGAGGAGGAGGAGGAGGAGGAGGAGGAGGAGGAGGAGGAGGAGGAGGAGGAGGTGGTGGTGTAGTAGTAGGAGAAGGAGGAGGAGGAGGAGGAGGAGGAGGAGGAGGAGGAGGAGGAGGTGGTGTGTAGTGGTAGTAGTAGGAGGAGGTGGTGGTGGTGGTGTGTAGGAGGAGGAGGAGGAGGAGGAGGAGGAGGAGGAGGAGGAGGAGGAGGTGGTGGTGTAGTAGTAGGAGAA